GATGGAATCTGCTAACGTCTGGGGGTCAAAACCCGTTTCAACGTCCGATCCTGCAGATTCATGCTCTTCTTTTTTCTCGTGATACCTGAATGCGGTGAACTCTGAGAGTTCCAGTTTCTGTGGCAGCAGGTCGTAGTAGCTTTTGGAAGAAGGGATCCCTGCCACTGTTTTACCGGCGGCTGGCTTACCCGTCTTTCCCAATGCTTCATGTAGGCCAACCTGACATCGAATTCCTTTTCGCTCTCGTACTTCGCTCTCTGCAGGTACTCCTTGTTGGGCGATATCTCCATTCCGATGTGTGAGTGTGTTGTGGGATCCGATTATGACCCGGGGTTTTCGCAGGTGGGGGCTCTGTGGGGGCTGTTCTGTTCCGAGTACTTTGCATGTTCCTTCCTCGGACGCTCTTCTCTTCTTTCCTGCCCTATCCACTGGGTTCTCTTTGGGGAGGGGGGAGGCATTTCGTTTGAGAGCGGGGGCGATCTCTGTCTTGGGGTGGCGATGTTCTAGGATCTGTTTCGCTTCATGGAGGAGGGTATTGCTGTCCAGATTTGTGTTTTGGCACAGTTCGGCGGTCTGGTATCTGATAGTCTCCATGTCCCACAGTAGGTCCTCGTGTTTGTTTTCTTCTCTGATTGCGGGTGGGTCGATTACCGGGTCTGTGTGCACTTTCCCCAGTATTCCTGTTACCTTTTTGGTTCTCATTGCGTGCCATTTGCTGTCTGGTGGCGGGAACACGTCAGGTTGTTTTGTTGTTGGGTTGGAGTTGTTGTATGTCCATATCCATTTTGCTTCTTCCACTTCCACCATTATGCTCTACTTCAACTTTTTTTCTTTCGAGTGTTCAGAAGAGCAGTGGCAGGAGGGGTTGGTGCCTAGGTGACCTCTCTCGCTGCATCTGAAACAGATAGGTGCGTCCTCTGTTGAGACTGTGACTGTGGAAGCTTCGTCTCAGATACAAAATTCCCATTCTTCTGGGAATTTGGGGTTTGCCTCCGTGTTCACTTCTAGGATTGCGGTGATAGAGGCACAATGAGGAGCCAGGAATTCTGGCATTGGAAGGACCCATTTCAGAATTTTGTTGTTCGGATTCTCGACCTCTAGACGGTCCTTGATTAGGGGGTGACCTCTGATAGGAATGTTATCAAATTGTACCCAAAACCGGTCCCGCATGAGTCAGTGTTTTTGTGCTGCGGACGGTGAGATTGTGGCTTTCTGAGCCGTTCCAAGTTTCCATCGGGACACGGTGGAGATTGAACCATTGCAGTTCAACGTCACATGTTTGTTGATCAGGTTGGAAGCCTGATCAGGGTCTTTGAAGACCACCATCGTCATGTTCTTACTCAGTACTAAAATTGAGAACTTTATGAGTTGGACTTTTTTTCATGACCCTGGATTGTCCTTGTGAAGTTGTGAGCAACTTGCGTTTTTCGATTGCTGGGAGGCATTCGCCCTTGTTGGAGAAAGTGAACACCAGTGCGTGTTTGGTATATAGTGCGCTGGTGGAGGTGATCTTTTCTTTCGGGTAGCACCATACCGTTACCTCTTTTTCTTCCCCATTGTGCTGTGTCTTCTTTGTGATTTTTTGTCCTTTCGATTTGTGGCGATTCCAGCAGGAATCGGAGTGTCTCGTGGTCAACGAGGGAACTGTTCATCTGTGTTGGAGTCTTGCCTCCAGGTTGTGATTTGGCCGCTACGACTGAGGTGAAGCGGCGTTGGAAGGTCACAGCCGTGGCCATTCCGGCCGGTGGCTGTGACAGTGGGACGCGGTCGGGTTAGGGGGGGGGAGGGAAGACGGGGGGAAGGCGGGGGGGGCGTTGTTGGCGGCGTAGTGGGTTATCTACATGGTTAGTTGAGCAAGACTATAGCGTACGGGGTTCTCTGGTGGGTTATGGAACGGGATGGGGATTCAAATGACTCCTGATGGCTTCTCTTTATCCTTTTCTCTTCTTTTTTCTTTTTTCTTTTTAAACCGGTGTGGTCGTTTCTAAGCCCTGATGCATGCAATAAGTTGTTGATGTTGTTGTTGTTGTTTTTGTTGTTGTTGTTGTTTTTTCCCTTTTTTCTTACAGCATTTCCTATCTCGATACTAGTGTGAGGCCAAGGCCTCGATAAGCCCTACTGGGCCCCTATTTGCAACAGCGTCGGCCGCCCTAGTGAAGGCAGGCTCGACAGACCCCAAGACGCCTATTTTGGACTACTTCGCAACTGGGGAAAATTCAGGCAGTTGCGCAGCGCCAGTTGGTTGGACGCGCCCAGGCCCTGGACTTCTTTATCAAATGCATCTGAGTCAGGCCCTGGGCGAGATTCGCAGCATGGACCCAACTCAGGCTGCGGGCAGTTGGGCACTAGTAACCACCACAGCCCCTGGGCTTGTTTCCCTTGGAGGGAGGCGCAGCCTCGTCAGGCCTACCGGAAGCTTCTGGGCCAGGGCCCAGTACCTCACGGCTGCACGCAGCAGCAGGCCACTTCGATATAGGGAAGGGCCTGCCTCCGCATTGGACATTCGGGCACTGACTGCTTTGTGCGCAAGTGCTGCTGCGCTATCGTCTGCCAGGCTCACGCATTCACGGGCGAGCTGGAAGGAGCAGGCAGCCATAGCCGAGCTGCACTGCTGTATGCTGGATGGGGCGCATGGTGGTCCTTGGGTGGAAGTGGCATCCGTGAGTTTGGGAACGAGGTTGTGAGTGATACGAGAGACATACCTGGTGCTTGAAGCGTGAGACATTGGCCGAGATCTGCTCGTACTTCGGGGAGCTGTTGACGTCATCAGCGGCATTGTAGAGTAGGCTAGATAGGATCTGCCATCTGTAGTCTGGGCGCCGAGCGCCAGATAGGATATCAACATTGGTTCTTCGTTGTTGATGATGATGAGACTGAATCAGCATTGTCAATTATGAGCTTTTGGTGTGCTCTTATTTGGTGAAGCTGGTGATGCAATTCTGCTTTCGGTTCGAGGTCACGACTATCTGGTCTCATGTGTATGATGCTGTTTGATTGCTGAAGTTCACTATTGCTCATCTTCCTTGCACTAGCCTAATGCTTAATTCATGCGTGCACGTGGGTTTGCATAAGGTTACTGCTGCTCGCAGCTGGCCTAGTGGTTCGTGGTAGTGCAGCTTGTGGCGGCTGGTGGGGTATGGGGGATGAGGGGGGTTGTGACCTTCGGCTCTGGGCTGGGGGAGGGAGGGGAGGGGGCGGCTTAGTGGGATGGGCTTTGGTGTAGGCGGTCAGATTATGTGGGCGGAGGCGGGTCTGGTTCGCCACACGGAGGAGGAGAAGTCAGTGGTGTGTGTGGTCAGCGGTGTGGGGTTTGTTGGTGGTATCGATGGAGGAGATGCCATTGTGTTGGAGGGAGAGCCGTTGTTGGGGCATTGGGTCAGGCAATTGGGAGTGCAATGGGGATGTGTGAAAGTAGGAGGAGGGAAGGAGGGGGGGGGG